TTATTATAGTTCTCCATTTATTTATTCGACGTTTCTAATGTTTCTTTATATATATATTTAGCATTTTATTTTTAATATTTAATCGAAAATAAATATCATCCATTCTTTTATATTAATCGATCGGAAATGATTTATTATCGGATTCTATTACCGAAATAATCGAATTATTAAAATATTTGTAACAAAATTCTTCGTTCTAAAAATGATCTCGATGAAATAAATATATCGAATGATAAACGTAATTACGCTAATAGTATTAGATAAAAGAGACAATGAGATAACGATCATTAGGGTCGTGAAAATCAAACGAAGAGTAATAATCGATGGCGTATATGCATTCGCTTGAAAAGATTAACAATCGGAAGTACAAAGTCGATGTGCTCGCCGCAACTTATCCAAGCCACATCTGGTTCTAATGTCTTCTTCTTCTTCTTCGCGTCGTGTCATACGAGTGTATGCGCGCGCGCGCGCACACGTGTACGAATGACACACGTAAGTATACTCGAGTCTCTTTCACGGACAAGAGTGTTCACTATCTCACGTATAAAAAGGAGTAGGAAGTATGTTGTACGTTGCCAGCTTGTCTGCCAAGAAAGTTCGTGCCGAAGAGTTCCGAAGTTTATCGAGTTTTTCCGATTTCATTGGAGGGGAACACACGTGTGTGTATTCCCCATATGAGTATAATATTTTTCAATATATTTTATTTGTATGTGTAAGCGTAGATGTCTTTCTTTCTCTCTCTCTCTCTCTCTCTTGCATAAGGAATGTATATACGAGGCCAGTTCCATAAAGTCGTTGTAAACGTCGATTACGCAATGACGTAATATAATAATGAACATTGTCTCTGATGGTGGAGAGATTCCAACGTATATCTAGTGATTTCTTATTAACGCGCGTTTGTAAGACCATAAAAATGTTCTTTGGTATTGTCGGTGTTTAGATAAAAAGGTAATAATCGTACAAAGCTAAGTCTTGTAATATTATATTTGTATTAGGAATATATATCTTATACATCGATATATTGACAATTCTAATTGAGCGATTGAAAAAGAAAAGGGTAAAATAAACGTACCTTTTTATTTTTTAAATTTAAGATAAGTATCAAGATAACTTGAGATGAACATTATTAGGAATTCATCTTAAATATAAGTTTAAATTCTAATGTAAATTTTTAAAAAATGTTATTTATATACCCCTTTTCTTTTCGGTTACTTAAAAATCAGTATATTTTTGAGATAATATATACAGATGCACATGTTTAAAATAGAAGACATGGCGAAGGTTAAACAATTTAACATTTCAAACAAAATAAGAACATGTCGTTCACATGACGATAACTCTCTGCAACGCTATGTAACTTTGAAATCGCACAATCACGTATCTTATTTAATATTTTTTTGTGTGACAAAATTATTAGTTTGTGTCCGAAGGTTAATACTTTAATTCTAACATAAGTTATGAAATAGTATAAGTTTCATTTGTTTGTGTTATATAATTCTATTTTTTAAACACGAACGCATTTAAAAAAAAAAATACCGCTTATACTCGTATTATAAATGTAATTGTCTTTAAAACTGGTTAATTCTAGAATTAATGATGTAGATTTCATGAAATGTTTAGTTCACAATTTTTTAACATTTTTTCCTACGATCTAATTACATATTCACACAATGATTGCGTATAATTTCTATTAGTTGGATTAAAAAGAAATATAGAAAGAGGGAGGGGGAAGGGAGAAAAGAAAAAAGGAGGAAATAAAGTAAAAAAAAAAAAAAAAGAAGGAAAGGAAGAAAGAAAAGTTGTCGATCGGCTTGGTTGTAAGAAACTGGGAGTAAACTAAACCTACCGGTCCTACAGCTGCTTGCCTTCGTCTTCATAGCTACTACTATTACTACCACTACTACAACTATTCCTACTACTACTACTACTACTATTACATTATACTATATGTTATTTGTACACCTGCAAGAAAATTATTCATGTATTTGTGAAGATCACCTCACGGTCCCTTTTATTTTTCTCTTTGTTTTATCCGATACATCGTGCTTAGGGATAGTAAAATAATCCACGCCCTTTCTCTTTCGAGTCTCTTCTTTGGACCTACGTGGGTGTTCTCTTGCATCTTTCACATACACAAGTACAAATAATATATACGCGAATGTAATATTCATATAAGTGTAAAAAATATCTTTTGCCCGAAGCGTACCAACTAATCGCTTCCTTTCGTGTATTTTCTTTCCCTTTATTTCTTTAGTGTGCTTGAATTATACTTAAGCTGTATACGTGTGTGTGTAAAACGTAGTTTGGCTCGTTCATTCAGAAATCGCGTGTGAAAAACGCGCGAAAAAAATGAACACGTGAGAACGAAGAGAAAGGATCGAACAAAGTTTCTGCCGGCGGCTACTATATTTTGCGGCCCTTGCTCGTGCGAGTTATTATCGTTAGTGGTAGCGGAGAAATTCTTGAAAAAAAAAAAAAAAGAAAAATGTAAATTTTACTTTTTTCTTAACTTTTCTTTTTCTCTTTTTAACGTGTCACATCTGTGAAATCTTAGAAAAAAATGTATTAACTTTTTGTTTTGTTTTTTAACGTATCATCTTGCGCTTTACGTATAAGTATATGAAATTGTTCAAAATAATTTTCAAGAAATTTCAATAACAATAATTCTCATATATAAATGAACATTTTTTGATAACATATTTAATATATAACATATACCAAATGTATTTATCTATTCTACAAAATTCGAAAACTTACAACATAGATTTCGTTGAACGTTTTGTGTTACATTTTTTTTTTGTTTTGTTTAAATCTCATTATTATATACTGACGTAACGATCACGTATAAGTTTTATTAAAAAAACTAATTCACATTTATATCGCTTTATTTTATTGTATTTATTTATTTGTTTAATTTGTTTGTGTTTTTTTTTTTTTTTTAATTCGAACAGAAATACTTCTTTTGATCAGTAAAAAGACAATATAAGAAGAAAAACGAAAACATTCCAGGGAAACTCGTGTGCTTTATTTACACGAGTAAGACCCGATAAGTCTTCCATTACGATAACGAGCGTAGAGAGACAACAGCTTATTACCTTTGACGGCTGAAACGAGATACTCGCGAGATAAATCTGATCCTTATGCTCTTTTTATTCTTGCCCCTTTTCCTTCCTTCCGTTTATAATCGAACTCGTAACTCGCATTTTTATCGCTCTACCGAGCCGGTTGCGTAATTAAAGGGTGATGGTTCTTTCGAAGAAGAAGAGAGTACGGATGGGGGAGGACAGATGAAATTAAACGAGATCGGAAAGTTGTTTCTTAAATATATTACTTGTATATTTCTCTTTTTATCTTCTTTCTTTCTTTCTTTCTTTTTAAACATTTTCACTGTAACATTGACTCGTAACAACTCACGTGATTCATTTTATATATTTATGCACACATTTATAAAGTATGTATAATCCTATAATGTATCATGTTTTATTTAAAATCATTTTAGAAAAAGAATTATTATAAAATAAGCATTATAAATTAATAAAACACAATGATATAAACATATAATATTTTTTACAAAATTTATATCTAAATTTACACACTTTAAATTATACTAAATTTATTATAATATAACTTGCAATTGTTTAGAATTACAATGATTTTAATCAGTAATAAAATGATCTGTGATTGCAATATAATATATTAATATAATAATATAATATTATTTTTTATTTCTCATATATTAATTTCAATTAAAGTTGACTGTTTCTTGCTTTATTTTATAAGAAAGAAAGAAAAAGTGAAAACAAATCGATTAAAATCGTTGGCGTGCCAATGAAGGCTGACATAATCCGGGACTGTTGTAGTCCGAGCTCGAACGTGATTAGAAATCCGTGAGTGTCACCTTAATTGACGTAATTACGTTTTACGGGAGTGACTGGACATGATCGAGCTTTGACAGGCGTGACACGCGCCAACAGGTGTTTTCTTGTAAAAATGAGAAACACCTCGAAATAAATACCGAAGTTATAAATAATAAGCTTACATACGTTTTTCTTTCATAGAAATTTTTTCAACGTTCGTCAGCTTTTAAAAAGAGGGAGGGACACTTAAATATAAGTATACATGTGTAACGGATAGAAAAATAAAGTATGATCGTTAAAGCGTAACAATCATTTCTTTAAATAAAAAAAACAATCTAGATTAATTTTAAATTAATGTCATCATCTGATTAATCTTGTTAAAACATTTATTTTACAATAAATCTGTGTGCTCCCTAATTCTCGTAACAGGGAAATATTAATAAATGCTCCGCAATGTTTTTTGGTGAAGTTTTTCTGACGCGAGTCGATTTATCTTCCTATCGAGAATTTCCTTATGGCATATAACTCTGATGAATCGTTACTCAAAGCCCGTTATTTAATGCAATCACTCGTTTGATACTAATAACGTTGCATTTTCTTGTACGCGAAAGGCCACCCGCCCTACGTCCTTCGCCGCCTATCATCCTTCGTTCTAACCTTGTGTCCTTGCCATTTAGCACCCTGCGCTCAATAATTTAATCGAGGATACTGTTCTTAACATTTAAGTGTTTCTCTCGCGTAAATATATTATCCATTTTTTTCATTCTTTCATTAGTTAATTTATTTACAATATATCGATAACTAACGATTTTATCTGTAGGTAATTTTTCAATGTTCTTAAGACTATCAATGTCAAGGCTGTGAATATCGGTCGGTTAACTTTTTGTTCTCGTTTTTCCAAGATATTATCAGTTGTTTCTCTCTTTTTCTACTTATTACAAAAAATTACTTATAATATCTTCTAACACGCACACGTTTATTTTCATATATATATATATACATACGCGTATCAATATTAATTTATGCTCCATTATCAAGCAAACATTCAATATCTAAAGACACACCCACGTCTTTCACACTCTAATACACGCACCAATGATTTCCTTCGTATTTAACATGTAACATTGTCGATCTTGATTTCAGGTGGCCGTTAGCAGCAGTTCAGGGTGAAACTGTGAAGAGTACGGATTGGCAGCAGTATGAATATAAAATAGCACTGATACATCGACTATCTTACTGCTGAGGCCATTTTGCCATGTTGTTTAGGTAAAGATTAAATCCAGAATCGATCGATCATTTAAAAAGCTCATTTAACTTATTATATTCATGCATATACACGTATACGCACGAATATGTACATTATGTGTATGTAAATGTTGTATTTATTAGAAATTAATTAATGTTATTTTTATTGACTTAACGAATGATAGGGTGAACCATCGGAAATAAATTAGAAAGGATCAAGATGTGTTTTCAATAAAAAGTATCCTAATGCGATGATTAATACTTTTTCAAATTAATGTTTCAGATGGTTCACTCTGTAGAAATATTCTTTAATTAAATTTTATATTTATATATATATATATATATAATTCAGGATTAATAATATTTTTTATTAATATCTTTTTCTGGATATATATTAGGTTGTGCGGAAAGTAATTTCGTTTTTTCTTCAACAGAGGACTTAATTGTATTTTTTCACAGCCAACTTCACACTTAAGCCGCATTATCATTATATATTTTAACAGCTGATATAGCAAGGCTTGCTTGTGAAAAAGTTCGATTGATTCTACGCAGTAGTTTTTGTTTGGTACCCTTTCAAATATGGAAATGAAAAGCAGCATTTTCGGCATATTTTACTTTTTTACTATCGAAAAGGTAAAAATGCTGTTCAACCAAGAAAAAAATTATCCGATATGCATGGAGAGAAGATGTATTGATAGAACGCTAGTGCCATAACTGGTTTGCAAAATTTCGATCCGGCAATTTTGATATTGAAGATGCATCACGTTCTGGAAGGCCAGTTAAAGCTGATGAAGACACAATAAAGGCATTAATTGATGTAAACCGGCAAATAACAACTCGTGAGGTCGCTGAGAGATTAAATTTATCGAATTCGACCGTTCATGATCATTTGAAACGCTTAGATTTAATCTCAAAATTCGCTATAAGAAAATCGTCTTTCATTTTCATAAAAATAAATGAAACTATATTTTCCGAACAACCAAATATATATATAAGCCTATTATAAATTTATAGAATTCAGAATAATAGATATGTGAGAAATAATTATATTTGATTTAATTTTAAACGAAATATACGCATATGAAAATGTTCAATTGATTGTTATAAACAAATCTAAGTATTTATTTCTAAATAATTACAAATATATATCTATTGTAAAAATCAATTCATGAAATATCTATTGTCTAGAATTGTACAAATTTATAATTTAGAGTATCCTATTTGAAATGCAATTATTTTCTGAACTATTCCTTACTCAAAAAAATATTCATATCAAATACATTCTTCGGATATATATATGCATATAATTCGTGAAAAAGACTAGCAGCTTGTCGTTCTCAAGCAAACGATATTATAAATACATCTTATCGATGAACATTGCCGTGCTATTTTAACGAGTTATCTCGAACTACGTCCGCCATGAAGTTGCAAACACGTCCGATTTCCTCTCTTTCTTTCTCTTTTCCATTTTTTATCTTTCTATTTTTTCCTCTCTTTCTAACTTATAAAAGAGCACAAACGTGACGTGGATACGATGAATATGCGAGAAACGAGAGAAGAGTGTAATACTCAGATATTACGATCTCTACGCCGCGGCCGCATAGAACTAACATGATGAAAAACCGCGAACGATGTGCGCACGCGCGTGCGTAAACAGACTCTGTATTCTCGCGCAAATGAATCTAGAGATCCACCTCAGAAAGAGAATCACAACACAACATGCATCATACTGAATATTGTAAATCTACAAGTACATTTGTTTTTTTTTTTCAAATATTATACAATTTTTTTATTTATCTATATTATAACTCTCGTAAAAAATTGTTTAAATAACAATTCCTAATAATTTGTCATTTTTTGAATTAAATTTTGAGTATCGTGTTAACGATAAAATATATTGAAAATTAATAGAATGTAAATATAATTTTAATGTCTATATATTTAATTAATTTATTATCTGACATTAAATATAATTACAATTAGTGTAGAAAAATATTTAAACAAAAAAATAATAATTCCCATTTATAAAATCAAAGTTTTGCGATTTAAATTGATTTATAAATATTATACTTATGTCATTTTGTTATTATTAATTAATATCCTTTGTGATTACTCTACAGAAGAAATACGAGATTATTTATTACTATTATACTACATGCTTGAAACGAGATTTTAATATTATTGTGTCATTTTACTATCCTTTTTACGGGTTCGAGTAATCTTTTTACGAACATCTTCTCACATCTATTCAATACTACCAAAGAGGTCGCATCTTTTTACCGCCTCTCTGGTTTCAACAACACACAGTATTTGTTTTTCCGAACGGATCACCCATCCATTTTATTAACCGTGCTCATGTTGCTTGTCTTTAGTTATCTGACAGGAAATAGTAATTCAACGCGACTAGGCCGTTGACTGAAATTATAGTACTAATAACTTCTTGATTGAGAATAATAAAAAATAAATAATTATATACATTTTATATAGATAAGAAAAAAGTGCGTTATTAAAATGATCTATTTGTATTATTCGTTATTATGAAATTTTTCTCTCTTAGCTTCCTTTAAATCACAATATATTTATACATAGGATACATGCCTACATTTATAGAAACAGAGACAAGGATAACATTATAGGAATAAATTGTTTAACTGCTCGAAACGTTACATTGTATGAGTCGACTCCCACGAGTAGCAATTCAGGTATCAGCACGGTCACTTGACGTTTCTTAAATTAGAGACCCCTAAGCGCCCACGCTGTGAACTCTGATGGATGGCTCATTCGAGAACAGAATGACAATGACTCGTGAAAAAAAAGGAAGTTCCGGGGTGACGGGGAAATGATGTTCTTTATTCTCAATAACAATAAACTTATTCGTTCGTTCATTCTGTCCTATAGAATATTAACAGATTAGAATTTCGTTATTTACTGTGAAATGTAATAAATGATCTTATATCTCGTATCTGTGTGATAATAATTACGAAGAATATTAAATATTAATAATCTTATATGAGATAAGTATAATATTAAAAGAATTCAATTAAAATCAACCTTGACAAAAAATTATCAAAAACGATAAGGAAATTAAGAGTAAATGAAAATAAATTTCTTCAGAGGATCTCTTTGAAAAATTGTTTAGATTAAAAATGTATATTTAGAAATTTTTATCACCTTTCTCTTATCATTTTCTCTTTTTTCCTCACTTGTTTCTCGTTTCTTGGAATCGTATAACTAATTGATTCGTCTTAAAAAAATTGTTCGAGTAATATCAAGACTGACGCAAAAGTAATTAGATTTACGAAAGCGAAGAACCTTTCACGTAAAACGTAAATGACGGAAACTAATTGTAAGTCAACTAACAGTAGTTATTTTATGGTAGTTATAGTCGAATTTATTAAAAATTCAACTATACCGTTAAAAATTTGCCGAGAAAAATATTTTTTCCCTGCATAATAGAGAGTCTCGCGTAGTCGCATAATTTCGATTCTCTTTCATATCCGATTAGGTAAATTTCATAAAAACATCAACTTGGAGCTCGTAAAAAGGTCTTACAAATAATTTTCATTCCATACTTATAGTTAAATGGAAACGTAAACGCGTACATAAATAGGCATAGTTATTATCGCAACGAATTAAATTGACAAAAAAAATACGAGCCAATTGAAAATTAATATCAGCCATGTGTATAAAACGAATTAACTAATTTTTGAACTTTTTAATACGTGATTTAGTTTTATTAAAATATATATAGAAAAATATATTATACTAGTTATTGATATATAGGTACACTGGATATAATTAGTTTATCATAATATAATAAGAGACTAAATTACATAACGTTAATACATTTCAAATTTTAGAATTCTGCAATTACACATATTTAAGGATTAAGGGAACGAAAACAACAATAAAAAGTCATAAAAGCATGTCAGAGAGAGCAAACTCGCATTCATATTCTTCGAACATAATCGCACAATTATTCTCTGAAGCGATCTAGAAGAAAGCAAGGCATTCTGAGTATCATTGAAATATTCTCGGAAACGTTAGAAATAAATAGGGGAAAAAAGTATAGACTTATAAAACGTGTACAATAGATACAATTCATTATCATACGCGTTGAGTTTGATCCCGAATAATAGTTGTTAATCGTTGTTATAATAAAACGTTCCAGTTCGAATTCGATATATCAGTTATCTCATTTGTTGTCGATTAAAGCTGAACGAACTAACGAATGATCTTAATGAGCAGCATTCTCTTTCGCGCATGTAATCGTCTCGACTGATTTAACGAGCACCATCTTTTTATACTTACAATCGTGGCTAATAAGTGTCATTGTTACTAAATTAGTGCTCGCCTCGTTCGGTGAAGAAGAAGAAGAAGAAGAAGAAGAAGATGATGAGATGAAATAAGAGATGAAGAAGGGGGAAAGAAGTAGTATTATACATAGTGGCATAGACCGGTCTGTGATTCTAACAATTGAAATTCGCCACCATTCGTTGCTCTTAATTGTGCTTATGTATAGAGACCGCTCACATTACTGGCCTAGAAGTACCGAAATAGACGTTTACATCACGTGCATTAGAAAAACGTCACTGCAGTGGCTCTCAATCTAGCCATATCTTTCATTGGAACGTCTTATCTTTAATATATTGTAGATAGATAATTAAATAGAATTTTATATTTTCAAATTATGATAATAGATAGACACAAAAAAATTAACAAATAGATAATATATTTATTTTGTTTTTTAATTTCTGTTCTTATTAATAGTTAATCGATGATAAAGATTTGTTTCTGTTCATCAGAACGATCGAACACCTGAACAACCCCTTTTCATTCTCCTTTCTTCTTTACCTCATTTCAGCTCAGCGTTATTTTCACCGCATTATATATGTTTTTATTTTTCCTTTTTTTTTTCTTCTTTCCTTCTTCCTTTCTTTCTTTTTTTTTTTTTTCTCATTGGTTTCCAACTACTGTTGCTCCTGAAGGCGCATAGTATATCGCGTTACATTCATCTATGT